GGCCAGCCTCGGGGGGGCCCTCAGGTGACCGGCTGCTGGGCCCCCCAGGAGAAGAGGCTGGTCCTGTGGGTACATACCGGGGTCGCAGGGCCCCCTGCGACCCGGTATGTACCCACTGAATGTGGGGCCCGGACAACCTGAGCCGTCCGGGCCCCCCAGGACCGCCGGGCCCATGACAACCGTTGCGGTTGTCATGCCCTGATGGCGGCCCTGTCAGTAATATAAATATTAGTGGGTCACAACATCATAAAAATCCAACTATAAAGTGCAACAGAATGTAAAGACTAGGTCAGTGGTAGTCAACCTTTTTCTACCTACCGCCCACTAATGCATCTTTCTTGATGGAAAAATTTCCTTACCGTCCACCAGTTTTCGCGCAAGTGCAGAATATTTTTAGAAAGGAGGGCGTTTTAAAAAATAAATAAATGTACGTACATTTATCTTTTTATTTCTACTTAATGCATGTTTATAATGTTTTTAACTTTATAAAGTTTAATGAGAAAACAATAAAGTAAATTGAAATTACCTTTACTAGTGATTAATGAGATCCTTGAGGCTGATGCTGCAAGACTAAATATTTGATATCTGGTTCGATTTTTGTAAAGGAACAAACAAAGGTCTCCTCTTTCGGTGAAATTCAGACGACTTCTGTTGGCGCATAATATGATTTCTCATCTGTGCGTCAGCTCCAATTCCCCTCCCCAACTTTTTTTTGTTCCTTTTTTCTATTTTTTAACCTTACTTATAGCAATGCCCAGTAGGAAGGCTGAGCTACGTAGCCCACTTACTATAGCCCACTATAACAGACAGGCACACATACATACAGACACACACACAAGACACACATACATACAGACAGGCACACACATACATACAAACAGGCACACATACAGACACACACACAGAGACAAGCACGCATACAAAGACACACACACATACACACAGACACAAGACACATACACACAACACATACATACAAAGACAAGACACACACAACACATACATACAAAGACAAGACACACATACACACACACAAGACATACATACAAAGACACATACATAGGACACACATACATACAAAGACACATACACACACAAGACATACATACAAAGACACACACACAGACAAACAAACACACGCATTATATTTAAGTCACCCTCCTGTTTCCTACCTTTAAGGTGCAGGAGGGTGACTTTCCCTGGGGTCCAGTGGTGGCTCAGGTGGATGGGAGTCAGAGTTCCCACTCTGACTCCCTGGTCTTCCTCCCGCGCTGCTCTCAGTGTTAGCTGGGAGGAGTGACGTGCAGTCACTTCCTCCCAGCTCTGGGATGTAATCATAGGGGGCCCGGTCGCGCTGTTAAAGCGCCCAGTGCTGACCGGGCCCCCTCACAATCCACATCCATCGGGTGGCCCTGACAGCATGGGCCACCCGATGGACCCCTCCATATGCGGCTCCGGTAGTTTGCCGCCTGGGCCGGGGCCTCAAATGGTGATGGCGGTACCCGGTCGCAGGAGTACCGCCGGCTCGCACCAGCTCACCCACCCAATCTCTCCAAATGAGGAAATCCCTACCGCCCACCTGGAATCCTGAAACGCCCACTAGTGGACGGTAGGGACCAGGTTGACGACCCGTGGACTAGGTTGAAATAACCACAATAGGAGAGATAGGAAACCTAGAACTGAAGAATGTTTCCAACTTACTTTGGTCAATATTTTGCAATTCGGTTTTCATTTCATCACAATTTACTGTTTAGTGAACAAACTACGAAGTGTTTTATTGTCAGTGTGTTATTAGCCTAAGACATACAGCGCAAAGGTCAGAGATACCAGAGTCTGTCTGCTGCGCAAGACTTTCAATTTTTATGGAATCAATGGAGTGAAGATCCACTAGGATTCTCTGTACAAATTTTATACAAAACGAATGCCTGTCATTGCACCAACAGTGGGAGCATGTCATTAGCTTTCTTAATTCAGCGACTGCCCCGAATCCAGGAAACCAGGCCGGCACAGGATCATGCCTGTAATAAAGTTACACAAATTTAAATCACTTAAGGCTTCTGACTTTTTTCTGGGGAGGGGGGTGATATTCATTGATTCACACTGACACATGTTTTGCACTGGGAGAATAAAGAGGAAATTGTGAATAAGGGGCTTTTTTTGTTAGGCATATAACTTAATATCCTAAGATTTCCAAATTCCAGAGGAAGAAGAGTCTCTTTCTGTATTTTTGCCAGATGTTAAGCGAGTTTTGTGCATATTAAGCTCCAGGTGTTGTGACGCAGCCGCTTTACTGACTCTGCAGTTCAGCCTTTGATCTAATGCTGCACAGTCAAAAAATCCAATAACGTTAATCGTAGTCCGACTGTCACCAGACGTACAGGAAATCCTCCATCGGCCGGCTGCACTGGGAAATCTTAAACAGAGACCTTTGTCATCTAAAGTTTCCAATTTTTAGGCCATATAAATACTTCTAGGTTTGATCTTGACACATTTGGCGCTTGCAGCCCCTGTCTTGGCGCAGCTACAGGCTCCCCAAAGTTGTATTGCCACCGCATTAAGCAGCACTGCGGCCTCTAAACTGGAATTAATGGCTTGAAAAAGTGCTGATTATTGCCTCATTTCTCACCTTGACAGTGTTTTTTTCCTGCTGTGTTTACGCCTGCCGTTTAATGACTCTCATACAAGCTGTTTCTTGTTTCTGTTTCCTTGTATTGTATTATTCCTGTGCGAGCTCTGCACCTGCACTTGGATCGCTTCCCGTCTCAGATATTATTTCCCGATTTACCCCGTACCGACTCTGCACTGACAATTCACACAGACTTCAATAAACAGCTGGCCAACCAACTGAAAAATAAAATGTTCAAATTCAGGCTAAAATAGCCGAGCTATGATGCACACTGATAGTGTGCATTAAAGGACAATTTTTCCAGATCAACTATCAGAGCCTAGATTTTGCATTTGGTTTTCAATTTACACACATTTGCGGTTTAATGAAACTCTGCACACTTTATCAATCGCACACGCAAGCAGCAAGCATGCACATACATACACGCAAGCATGCACATACACATGCAAGACGCAATCAGCAAGCATACACATGCAAGACGCAATCAGGAAGCATGCACATACACACGCATGCCGCATGCACATACATGCAAGCAGCAAGCATGCACATACACATGCAAGACGCAAGTAGCAAGCACACACATACACACATGCACATACACACATGCAAGCAGCAAGCATGCACATACATATGCAAGATGCAAGCATGCACATACACGCTCAAGCAGCAAGCATGCACTTACGCAGCAAGCATGCATATACACACATGCAAGCATGCACGTACACACATGCAAGCACACACATACACACACAAGCACGCACATACACACACATGCAAGCATGCACATACACACACATGCAAGCATGCACATGCACACACGCAAGCAGCGAGCATGCACATACATATGCAAGGTGCAAGCATGCACATACACACGCGCACAGCAAGCATGCACATACACAAGCAGCACGCATGCACATAACACAGCAAGCATGCACATACACAAATCATAATGGGAAAATTTGGGATTAAAATGTGGAAGGAAAGATGATAATAATAAGTGAGAGAAGAAATGAATAAAGATGCTAAGAGCCAAGAGGAGATCACTGTTTCAGTGTCAGTTAATTGAAACACTCACGGTTTATTCACTGACAGGATTAGCTTCTGTTAAACAGAATTAATATAATACACATATTGTGGCTAAATGCTGCAATTCAACGTTCTGTCTTTCCATCTCAGGTATTGAGTCTGTCCTCAAGTCTCCGCTACAAGGGGTTTCTGCACCAAACTGGGATCGTAGTGAATTGGAATTGCCAATGGCAACGCTCAGGCAAAAATAAGTGTTAGAGATTTTAATTTTGTCTAAAATTTGCAATTCCCATGAAAGTTCACCACAATTCCAGTAAATAAATAAATCTGTTTAGTTAATAGACACAATATAACAAGGAAAACAAATTGTTTGTTTAATTTGGGGTGGGTGTCCAGCTATTTAGAATGTCCGGATTGTTAGTTTGCAGGAGATGGGATGCTGATATCGTGAAAATAGATAAACATTATTATTATTATTATTATATTATTATTATATTATTTATATTATTATATTATTATGATATAATTCACTTTGCAAGTGACTAACACATCGCTGTTGCCAATCTAAATATGGGCTGTTGACATAACCCAGAAACAAGGCCACGATCTGCATTAAATAATATGTTTTTATTTGTATAATTACAATTGGTTCAATTACTACTTCTGTTATTACTATTTTGTTGTTATCATGTGATCCCTGAAAATTAACCCGTCTAAGGCCACACTTACATAGGAAGAGCTTACAAGCCAAAGTGACCACCTTGTGACTAGTGAGTCAAGTGCTGGTTGACTAAGCGCCAATATTTTTTTTAAGTCTTTATTTAAAGAAGAGAGCACATCAAAACAAATCGTAAATTGATAAGAAAAAAAATACACGTTTTTTTCAACCTTGCTGAACTACAGCTCCCATGATTCTCTGGCTATCTAGTTCATTTAAAGAATCATGCGAGTTGTAGTTCAACAACTTCTGGAGGGCCAGAGTTTGGAGAATCCTGGCAAGGCCATGAAAATCGAGACTGTTTATATTCTTTTTCTGATACCCTTGGGCCCAATCATGTTTAACAGATATATAACAGACATCTATATATTAAAAAAAAATTATATTATTGTAACAACTTTTTGACATGTTTTATCCTGTCCTCTATTTTTCTAGTATTTTGTATCAATATCATTGATTTCGACAACCAAATAAAAATTATAACGAATAAACATAAACAGTGTTAATTTGAAAAGATGCAGCTAACCTGTTTTTTTATCAACAGCATCGACTAACAAAGTCCCTCTACTGTATAGCACTCAGATACCCTAATCCTGACCCTCTTCCAATATACCTAACCTTTCTCCTCCCATGGATCCATGGGCTTGGACCTATGCTGGATCTAACCTTTCTCCTCTGTTGGACCTGGACCTATCCTGGACCTACCCTTTCTCCTCCTATGTACCTGGACCTATCCTGGCCTACCCTTTTTCCTCCCATGGAACCATGGACCGGGACCTATCCTTGATCTACTGTTTCTCCTCTATTGGACATGTTCCTGGACCTATCCTGGATCTACCCTCTCCCCTCCCATGGACTTGGACCTATCCTGGACCTACCCTTTCTCCTCCCATAGACCTGGACCTATCCTGGACCTACCCTTCCTCCTCCCATGGACCTAGACCTATCCTGGACCTACCATCTCTCCTCCCATGGACCAGGACCTATACTGGACTTACCCTTTCTCCTCCGATGGACCTGGATCTATCCTGGACCTACCATCTCTCCTCTCATGGACCTGGACCTATTCTGGATCTACCCTTTCTCCTCCCATGGACCTGGGCCTATCCTGGACGTACCGTTTCTCCTCACATGGACTAGGACCTATCCTGGACCTACCCTTTCGCCTCACATGGACCAGGACCTATACTGGACCTACCCTTTCTCCTCCGATGGACCTGGATCTATCCTGGACCTACCATCTCTCCTCTCATGGACCTGGACCTATTCTGGATCTACCCTTTCTCCTCCCATAGACCTGGACCTATCCTGGACGTACCGTTTCTCCTCACATGGACTAGGACCTATCCTGGACCTACCCTTTCGCCTCACATGGACCAGGACCTATACTGGACCTAGCCTTTCTCCTCCGATGGACCTGGACCTATTCTGGACCAACCATCTCTCCTCTCATGGACCTGGACCTATTCTGGATCTATCCTTTCTCCTCCCATGGACCTGGACCTATCCTGGACGTACCGTTTCTCCTCACATGGACTAGGACCTATCCTGGACCTACCCTTTCGCCTCACATGGACCAAGACCTATACTGGACCTACCCTTTCTCCTCCGATGGACCTGGACCTATCCTGGACCTACCATCTCTCCTCTCATGGACCTGGACCTATTCTGGATCTACCCTTTCTCCTCCCATGGACCAGGACCTATACTGGACGTACCGTTTCTCCTCACATGGACTAGGACCTATCCTGGACTTACCCTTTCGCCTCACATGGACCAGGACCTATACTGGACCTACCTTTTCTCCTCCGATGGACCTGGACCTATTCTGGACCAACTATCTCTCCTCTCATGGACCTGGACCTATTCTGGATCTACCCTTTCTCCTCCCATGGACCTGGACCTATCCTGGACGTACCGTTTCTCCTCACATGGACTAGGACCTATCCTGGACCTACCCTTTCGCCTCACATGGACCAGGACCTATACTGGACCTACCCTTTCTCCTCCGATGGACCTGGACCTATTCTGGACCAACCATCTCTCCTCTCATGGACCTGGACCTATTCTGGATCTACCCCTTCTCCTCCCATGGACCTGGACCTATCCTGGACGTACCGTTTCTCCTCACATGGACTAGGACCTATCCTGGACCTACCCTTTCTCCTCCCATGGACCAGGACCTATACTGGACGTACCGTTTCTCCTCACATGGACTAGGACCTATCCTGGACTTACCCTTTCGCCTCACATGGACCAGGACCTATACTGGACCTACCTTTTCTCCTCCGATGGACCTGGACCTATTCTGGACCAACTATCTCTCCTCTCATGGACCTGGACCTATTCTGGATCTACCCTTTCTCCTCCCATGGACCTGGACCTATCCTGGACGTACCGTTTCTCCTCACATGGACTAGGACCTATCCTGGACCTACCCTTTCTCATCCCATGGACCTGGACCTACCATCTCTCCTCCCATGGATCTGGACATATCTTGGACCTACCCTTTATCCTACCATGTACCTGGACCTATCCTGAATCTACCCTTTCTCCTCCCATGGACTTGGACCTATCCTGGACCTACCCTTTCTCCTCCCATGGATCCGGACCTATCCTTGACCTACCCTTTCTCCTCCCATGGACATGGACATATCCTGGACCTACCCTTTCTCCTCCCATAGACCTGGACTTACACTTTCTCCTCCTGTGGACCTGGACCTACCCTTTCTCTTCCCACACTCTCTTTTCTGCCTTCTACTCTAGACCCATGTTTCTCACCTCCCTAATCCTTTCTCCTGCTTTCTCCTTTTCTTCATGAAATACCTGACGCTAGGAATGGGTATGATAACAAAGAAGTGTGTAATCTCTGCCTTAGCTGCACATAAAGAAGGGTCCGGATTACAGGCGGCAAGGGACCCTTATTTAGTGTTAAACTGCTTAAAAATGGTTTAACACTGAATGGAGGGATAGTGCAAGGGAACTCCAGGCACTATAACCACTTCAAAGAGATGAAATGGTTATAGTGACTACCTTGTCCCTTTAAGTTTCTGTTGCACTCCAAGAAATGCTGTATCTGGACCACAGAGACTCCCCGTGGGAATTGTTGTTCTTACTGTTTTTCTATGTATGCTCACTCCATGTTATACGCTGTATTGTTTGTGCGAACTTTTAACAAAGAATTGCAACTGTTTTGCTAACATTCCATTCTTTTTGCTGTATTTTGCCCCAGACTGAGGGGCATTCTGTGTTTGATCAATGTATTTACATTGTATTCAGACATCAAATTACAAAAGCCAGACAAGAGAATTTGCATATTTTGGGGGCTGTCAATATAAATTGATTGTAGTTAATATCCAAATTGCCCTTTGGATCACATTCATCTATTATTTCTAAATGTTACAATCACAATGCATATTTCCGCATGATATAAACAATGTAATCATCCTTATCCTTAAACCAATTACAAAAGCTATAAAGAGATTTATTCTCTAAACTGTGGATGTACTAAAAAGACATTTTCACATCGGGATATTTTCCAAACTGCTATTTTGGGCTGAATTAAAAAAAAAACTAACACAGCTTTGCAAGTTGTTTTTCTTAATTAGACTCTTGTGGTTTAAATCTGTGATGGTTAGCTTGTTACAATTTGCTGTTTAGTAGATAAACCCCCAACACTCAGGAGAGGTTTTCGGCAACTCATGTCCCTCCAGGCGAGGTAGAGCTGTGTTTCTCTGTAATTTCAGAAATGATGGTTTAACCTTGTTAACTATTCTGCTGGGTTCTGGCAGGCGCTCAGGAACACAGTCAGGAAGACAGCCAGTTCTCCTCTGTAACAGACATGTCTATACATTTCCATTTCATTCTGATCTATCCCCTGACTTTCTCTAACATGTTTTTTTTTCTCACTTCTTACATGAGACAGGCCAGGGAAACACTGCAAAGGCTTGCAAAACATAGAACTGGGTTCTAGATGTACCTGTTTAATCCCTCCAGTAATGCTGGGGTGCAGTGATTTGAGTTTGGGTTTCTTTACCATTCTTTCAATAGAAAGGAAAGGAAGCCATGTATCAAAATAAATACAATTATCTCTCTGATATAATCAAAGGGACTCCAGTGCCCGGAGGGTCACATTAAATTGAGCTACAAAGGAGCAGAATTGCTTATATTTGTGGATGCCTCTTGTGGCCCCATCCCATATCTGGCCCCTATAGTCTCACTGCTAATTTGTTAAATTGATTTTGTAATTTGAAGGTGTAACAACAAAATCAGCACTTCAACACACACCCACTCCTCAAATTCCAGATTTTGAATGGCAAAATCTGAAATCCATAATTCCTGACCCTGTATGAGGACGAGTATTGGAACCGCACCCTTTGAAATATATCCCTGCCTTTTACTTTAAGCATTTTATATTATGAAAGGATTTCCCCAGAAAACTGATTATTTATACATTTTGTGATCGAGTTTTTCTTCTATTGAATCTTAAATCTTATTTCTTTTTTTGTCACTTGGTGACGTCACTGATTTTTAACAATCAGGATTCTGAGTGATGTCCAATTAGGTGCCTTGTTGGAACAGAATATTCAAGGATATACTACTTAACTTGTGGGGTAACAGCTTGACGGCCTACAGAAAAACATAGGTTGACATTTTGGAGTCAAGGAGGTTTGTTTTTTTTCCTATGTTGTTGCAAAATGTTTTACTTCATTTGGATCAACATCAAAAACAGAGGTGTAAAAGCCTGACATTGATTTATTTTAAGCCTCTATTACTATGTCACTATATATTTAATAAATGCAATGATTTTGGTGAGATGGACTGCACAAAGCTGACAATGACAGTGGTAGCATGACAGAAGGCGAATGGTTTATATGCAGGAGAAATACTCATTCCAAATGCTTCCAATACAAAGTCAACCAAAAAAATAAAACTTGGAGAAAATCTGGATTAGGTTTTGTTTCCGATAAATATCCAAGCTAAACACTGTAATTGTAGATGGGAGATCATTTCTTTCCCGGAGGATGTGGGAGTGGGCTGCTGTCTGTGGTGCTGAAATGACTTGGAATCTTAAGGTGGTGCTAAGACAGGAAGGGTCTGGAGTTTGTACACTGAAACTCGTATTCACTACATTCCAAACTTTACTGAATCAGATCCAAATGGCAGAATTCAGGCTAAAATAGCCAAGCCTGATGATCTGAGTTGGACAATTTTTCTAATTCAGCTGTTCTAGTCTCCATTTTCGGTTTGGATTTGATTTGCTAGAATACAGGATTTGATGGAATCAGTGAACTATTAATATTCATTGGTTATTGCTCATATATGGGTCCTTCAGTAATCTGCTTCTTGTTAGCAATTCACTATGGAGATGCAACGTTTTGGGCACAAAAGCTGAATTGAAAATAAATCTACAATTCTGCAATTTTTTCTGCTTGGCAATATAGGCCTAAAATACCCTGGTAAATCCCCAAGAATTCCTAATTGATTTAATAACTCCCACAGTATTATTAATTTAGTGAATGATTACAGCATATTCTTCATATATTATTGGAGGGTCTGTCTAACCACCAAAACCACTTCAGCTTGCTGGAGCCGTTGAGGAATGGTGCATTGTGGGGAATGGAGCATTGTGAGGAATAATGCATTTTGGAGAATAAGGCATTGTGGGGAATGGTGCATTGTGGAGAATGGAGCATTGTGGAGAATGGAGCATTGTGGGGAATGGAGCATTGTGGGGGAATGGAACACTGTGTGAAATGGTGCATTGTGGGGAATGGAGACTTGTGGGGAATGGTACATTGTAGGGAATGGTACATTGTAGGGAATGTTGCATTGTGGGGGAATGAACACTGTGTGAAATGGTGCATTGTGGGGAATGGAGCAGTTGAGGAATGGAGCATTTTGGGGAACAAGGCATTGAGAGAAATGGTGCATTATGGGGAATGGAGCACTGTGGGGAATGGAGCATTGCAGGGAATGTGGGGGGGCCGGGGGGAAGAATTTATTTGAGAAACATGTGAAGGCAACGCCCAGAGCTGGAATACGAGGTAACTATCTTGGGTGATTGTTACATACTAGGTATAACATTTAAAGATTCTCAGCTAAAATATTCTATGTGAAACATGATATCTTTTCCTTTATTTTCATATCTTTGTTTTAATATTTTTGTGAATGTGAACCAGTATATTATTAATATAGACCTTCGGCAACAGGAAATTCTGCAATGTAACCAGACACATTTCTAAAACAATCAACTTACTCAGAGGCCGCAGCTGTTTCCTTATTTAATTTAAAATGTAACATTGCGCAGTGGGTTAGGTAGAACATTCTAAAGAATTGGGAAAAATACAGGTCTCCAGTATATAAGAAAATAAAACATGCTCAGTTTGAAACCATTCTATCTGGGCAGTGTTTAGCAACGAGACTGAGTATAAAAATCAGATAATAATTAGAAGATATCATGAGATCTATAAGAAAGCTGTCATTTTACAGAAACTCCCTTTCTTATATTAACTAAGTGGAAGATGGAAAAAATTGTCCTGTTCCACCAAATGACCAAGTCTTGCCATGTTCTGCAGACTTCCCTATAAACTGTTTAAACCCTGTGATTTACTTGGCAAAAATTAGCTTTTCTAAATAATGGAAAACCCCCAAAAAATGAATGGGAAAGGCGGCCAGATGTTTATCGGCAGAATTTATACTCTCAATAAGCCAATTAACGGTTCGTATCAATTTAATTTCAGCAGTTAAAAACTTTCAGGGGGCAGAAAGCCCCCTGAAAGGCTAAATCCTACATTGATAATATAGGATTCAGCGATTTAATTTCATTTAATGGCGTATAGGGGATTCGGATGGGACAGCTGAAAGCCGACGGTAATTCTTTCCCTGACTATTTGTCTGTTCGCAGCAATGAT